GAAATGTTTAAAAGGCTTTTGTTTGCTGTTAATGCGGTTGTAGTCTCTTTGTTTGTGGCAATTGTAATATTGCACAGTGGGATGAAAAATATTTTAAACTCAGAAATTAAAAAAAAAAAAAAAAACGATTTTGCCGACAGATGTATATTCAAAATGTTGAGTCTTTGTTGTTGTTGTTGTTGTTGTAGCAGCTCATACATCTGTGTTCCATTTTCTGACTCCATTCAATCAGGTTCTGCCTCTAAGTTTAGTCTCCTGTATGGGTTGTGATGCCACCTGTATGGGTTGTGTCCATAACGAGACTGGAGTTAGGTGAGTGGGCTTGGCTGGGCAGTGAAATAGGTGCAGCGTGTCATGTGGGCCTGTGCCACGTGCTGGGCAGATGTTCTGCACGTCGCTGTTAATACGGGCCCAGTAGGAATTTAGGCGGCTGCACCATCTGGATCGTAATTGAGCCAAAACTAGCTCTCGTTCTTCAGCTGCGACGGGAGGGGGATGGTCTCCTAGCACAGTATACACTCTATATCCTTCAATGGCTTCTGAGACCCCATTAGAGTGAATACTATTCAGTCCCGCTTGATAGGCCTGTTGATCTAGAGGCTCTCTCTTATACCTCTGTACCTCTCTCTCTAGATCATGAAGGTCTTTCCTAACGTGCCTGGGCGGAGGTTGCCTATCCACAAGATGGTGATTCGGATGGCTTTGTCTATAACACCCAAGCAGGTATTGCATTGATAGCATTTTGTTATGCTGTCGCACCGGTAAGAGCATCGCCTCCTCATGTAGGTAATCGACAGGTGTCATGAGAAGGCACCCTGTTACAGTTCTAAGGGCGGCATTCTGGCAGGACTGAACATTTTTCTACTGCGTAGCACTGACGTTGGCGGACCATTCCGGAGCCGCATAGTTTACCACAGACTCTTGACTCTTTGTGGGGAAGGTACTTGATGGAGTGGACCGATATTGTCCATTACGCGCCTGACCTACGACTGACTAGTATTAGTATTAGGATTACTATTAATATTAATATTAGAACATACGTATTACAAGGAAGCAAAAAAGGCACTTCAAACTGCGATTAAAAAAGGCAAAAGAAGCAAATGGGAAGAACTAAGAGAGGACATATATAGAGATCCATGAAGAAACTGGGAGCTCAAGCACCAGCATATCGAATTAATGAAGATCAAATGGCAAACATCGTAAATACTACGTTTCCTGCACACGAAATAAGAACCGATGAGCCTTTTGCAGAATTCACAGAAGCTCCCACGGCTTTTACTACAGAAGAACTGCAAGATTAAAAAACAATATTGCCCCAGGGCAAGATGGTGTTCCGCCGGAAGTTCACACATTGTTCAACATGTACAATTACTGCTTAGCGGAGGGAATCTTCCCAGCGCCTTGGAAAGAACAGCAGCTTGTGCTCATTAGTAAAGGTAAAGGAGATCCAACAGCACCGGCACCACTGTACATGCTAAATACAGCTAGAAAACTATTCGAGAGACTATGAAGGACAAGAATAGACGATGATGTACACTTATAAGGAGGATTATCTGAGAAGCAACATGGCTCCAGAAGTGGAAAGTCAACAATCGGTGCTATCAAGGAAGTAGTTGACGTGTTTTCCGCTGCTCAGCTAGCCACACTTGATGTAAAAAACGCTTTCAATAGCCTGAGGTGGACAGATATCATACACGCCATGGAATCTAACTTTCAAATCCCTGAGTATCTTATGAGATCCCTGAGTATAAAGTACACGCGATGGCACCAGAGAGGTGCAAATAACATCAGAAGCTGCGCAGGGCTCCATCATAGGCCCCGACCTATGGAATATTAGTTACGATGGAATACTAAACCTGGATATGCACGAGAGCACATTTTTAGTGGGATACGCAGATGATATTGCAGTGATGTTGCCCAAAGTAAGCTTAATCAAGTCATGATCCGCACCAGAGCATGGCTAATATCGCATGGATTAGAGCCAGCCATGCACAAAACAGAGCTGGTATTATTGACCAGACAACATATTCCAGTAGAAATCGACATGCACGTGAACAGCACAAGCCATAACGCACCTCGGTATAAGACTCGACAATAAACTGACGTTTTCATCGCAGTTGAGCCATGCAGCCGAGAAGGCTACAACTATCACGATGCACGAAGCATGGACAAAACGGAAGCACGGCAATGTAAACTATTACATAACAAAGATGCTCTCCGGACATGGGTATTTCCGTTAATATCTGTTTAAGCTCTGAAAGAATGATTTCCCTTGTTGCTTGTATGAAGACGAAGAAATTTTAGAAGATGCAGAACATACATTCTTCTCATCCGGTCGATGGACAAACCTACGCTCAGAGGTAGAACTGCAAGCAGATGCAATCACAGTGACGAACATAGTTGCGAAAATGATAGAAGCCGAAGAAAATTGGCATGCAATTTCCAAATTCTGCGAGCACTTATTAAAAACAAAAAAGAGGGACTTAGACAACCTCCTAAGACTTCGAAATGAATAGAGGAGCTTGGACGCAAGCTATAAGAAGAAGGCCTACGAAGCCTGATAGCCACCGCGAAGGAATACGAAAGTGGTGCCGAGGTGGTAATAACTCCCAGAGGTCGGCAGGTGGGTTTTTAGTCGATACCAAGATTAAGCCCGACATACCACCATGATTGACGGCTCACGTGAATGCGTAAATGTGCATTTTTCCCAATTGATCCGCAAAAAAATTAGTATTAGTATTAGCTATAACAATTCTCAGTTTAAGTCAGTATTTTGGTAGATTTACGTTTAAACGAAAAACCGAAGAAATATAATTTTCATACACTTAATAGTCCCACTGTGCCTAACCATTGTTGCCACCCGAGACACACACACTCAAATATATGCATGTATTTATAGATATGCGACTACAGTTTAACGATACAAAATTGAGAACTACCAAGCCATGTGTACGTGTATAATTCCAACAGTTAAATGTAATATGAGTTGTGATGACTGTGTTGGTGTGTGTGTACCTGTGCTGCCATTACCCTTTGTAGTAATACTTTTTTTTTGTTGCTCTTGTTGTTAATACACAAATAAACGCCATTGCGGATATCCGCACTACTATTACAAAACGGCCACACTATCACCATGTCACCGAGAGACCCCAAGTACCCAGGGGTTTGAGGCATGCAAGTGGATTGGATGTACTCAGCAGTAAAATAAGAAGAAAACGAAAGGACTTTGTATTAACTTTCTCTTTGTACACCAAGAGGGATCAAAGCAAAAAAAAAACAAGTAAGCAAAGGCTACAGTCGAGCGTGGCCGACCGTTGAATACCCTACAACACTATAATAAACGATACAGGTTATATAGGCGAGATACTCGAAAGAATTCCACAAGATATTGTGACAAATAATAAAAGAAAACCATCAGGTTTCGTTCTCTAATTTTCGAATAATAGCAACTTAAACGAATTTGCTCATTTCCAATTTATAATAATGAATATTTTTGGATGGCCATCCAAAACTGCTTGGCTTTTGCAATGTCCGGTAACCCCCATAATTACGACCTACTGACAATTTTGCAGTTTTTTGGTCCATTTCAACCCCTAAATATATGGCGATCATCTCCAAAAAGAATAGGCTTTTATTTTGACCCTCATCTTATCTCCATGCAAAATTTCGTAAGGATCGGGCCATAAATGCGATCTGTATATGATATCCTGATATCCTAACTACTTAGTTTTGTTAGCTGTAGAAATATTACCAAATGTTTAATTCAAAATGAAAATATGCCAAAAATATGACAAAATTGAAAAAATATGAGAAAATTTTACAAAATCAATATTTTCATCTTTAGAGAGATATTTTTATGCGGTTTTTTTAGACGTTTTATGTTTCCTGCCAAGAGGCCATTCTGAATTAATGAGAACTGTCGAAATCAGTTCAGCCGTTCTCAACATATAAGAGATTTTTCAAGCATATCTTCTTTGATAAACATATATATCGCACATATTTTGCTATATAGCCGTTTTGTTGGATGTTAACATCAATGTAAAGATCAGAAGTAACCTTGTCATGGCTTTGTGATTTCGCCGGGAATTAAAATATTCGCGGTTTATTGAAAAATTTTGAATTTTTTCAACAAAAAAGATATGGTCTATTTTACCCGCTAAATATTATCCGATGACCACCCAAATGGGTAGGCTTCTTGCCAGCCCTAAACTTTAGCTACATGCGAAATTCCGCGTCGATTGGTCTATAATTGCGACCTGTAGAGCAAGTGCAAAATCAGGATTTTTTTCAGTTTTTGGTCCATTTCAACCCCTAAATATTATGCGATCATCACCAAAAGAAATAGGGTTCTATTCTGACCCTAGCCCCACCTCCATTTTAAATTTCGTGAAGATCGGACCATAATTGCGACCTGTAGAGTGATTACAAATTAACATGGACAGACGGACAGACGGACAGACGGACAGACGGACGGACGGACATACATAGCTAGATCGACTCAGCTCGGCGAGCTAGGAAGATCCATATATACTTTCCTATGTGGGAAATCAATATTTCGTGGTGTTACATAATTTTTGGCCCAATCAAACTTATAATACCCCCAACACATAGTGTTGTAGGGTATAAAAAAACGGTAGTGAGTATAACGAACAATGAAGCTTAACTTATAGTCACTAAGCTTGAATATTAGGGTGGCAATTTAGTATGAAAACAATATTGATTTTTGATATGTTATTCAGAGCCCAGGTATATAACTATTTTGGGAGTGCCATTGAAAATAGAGTCCACAAAACTCCAGGGAATGGTGTTAGACACTTTTCAATATGAAGATAAATGGGCCTGCAACTATGACCAAGTATATTCCATTGGCTCAATTAAGGTATCCAAAAAGCCATATTAAACCTCAACAATACTGACATGTATTGTTGGGTCTTAGAAAACAAAGTATTCTTTTTCAAAAAAATTCAAAAAAATAATAATAATTCTATCTTGAATCTTACCATAAAAATACTTCACAGTCGTCCGTAGAGGAAGCAATGTAACATTCAGAAGCCATTAATAGCAGTAGTAAAGAATCCGTAGACTGTCCTTCGCCTGTTAATTTTATAGACGGGAAATTACAACACATGTGTTTTGAATATATCGGACCTAAAAATGAAAAAGAAAATGAAGAATTGCTTAATAATTAGTTTGGTTTATATGTAACTAGCAAGTGCCCGCTACTTCATATGCTGAATGAGTATTAAATAAGTGACCATTATTTATCAAGTTTGTAAAGTTATAAATAGGATGACTACGTTCAATTCACATTAATTTAAGACTTACAGATCTACCCCTTCCCAAATACCAAATTTCGTAATATTTTGTATTTTCCGATTTTTTTTTTTTTTTTTTTTTTTTTTTTTTTTGTAGTGCGAATTTTGAAAAGTACCTCCCAACACTAATACCAAATTTGAGATTTTAAGTATAATTCCACATTTTCCCCACACCACCTTCTTATATCAAATCTATACCTCAGATTTGAATCTCCTATTAAATTTTAGGGGTTTTCCTCTATACCTTTATACAGGGTGAGAAAAAACTGCAAGAAAGTCAAAAGCCATAATTTTTACATTTTTTTAAACTTTATTGAATGAATATAAAATTTTCGGAATTAGCATCAAATTTTAGAATAAGTTTAGATTTATTCGAATTGGTCACCTTAGGCACGAATTATGGCCTTTCAACGGCCAATGAAACCATCATACGCTGCCCGAATGATGCTCCGCGGTATTTTGGCCCATTCCCGGCGAAGCTCTTTCTTGAGGTGTTTTTCTCTTTGTATTTTTTAGTGCCAAACTTGCTTTCCAAAATACTCTAGACACAATAGTCCAACGGATTGGTATCCGGAGATTTTGGTGGCCATTGTGCGAGGAACCTCCTTGTGTACTCATTCTTGGGTGGTGCGTGCTGAGTGCAATGGTGCTGAATTCTGTTGGAATGTACAAAGTCTGCGGCCATAATGTTTGCGTGCCCAAGGCTTTAATACACCCTTCAGAATATTTTCGTGATAATATTCGGCATTTATTCTGATGCCACGATCGATTAATACGAGCGCAGAGCGACTATCGACCGTTGTGGCGGCTTACACCATCACCGTGGCCGGCGCTTGAGTTCTGGTGGCCAACCGTAGGTGCAAATTTTCAGCTGACCTCTTTGGTAAGTAAACACGATCATTTTTATCCTTCTCAAACTGCTGGGCAACAATTGTTTTCTCATCGGAGAAAAACAAAATTCGGCAGTTCACCACTTTCGGCTAAGCGAAGCAACTCTTTACCTCTTTTGAGTCTATTTTCATTCTCTTGCGGTGTAAGTTCTTGCATTTTTTGGAATTTCAATGGACTCATTTTTCAATATTTGCCGAATGGAATATTTGCGATATGTTCAGCTCACGAGCCATTTTTCGGTCACTGCGACGAGGGTTTCGATCAAGTCGCTTCTTTACATTTCGAACCACTTCTGCTGATGTTATCACGGCAACGAGCGATGGTAAGAGACATAAAAGATTTATTCACATTTAAATGCTGGAGTGCTCTAACGATAGCCACTTGAGGTTTTCCAGCCAAATTTAAAGAAATCGCACTATCACGCTTCAATTCCATCACGAATAATTTTTTTTCTGGAAAATGCTGACCAAAATGCTTTTGCACGCTGGTAAACAATATATTGAGCTATCACTGGAATTATTTTAAAAGCTGTCGGACGAGTGGCTTAGAAATGGCAGCAGTCTGAAGTTGGTTGAGTTTTTTCATCTCACCCTGTATATAACAACAATATTAAATGAAATTCGATCTAGCGATATCCGTCCGTCTGTTTGTCTGCTGTCTTATGTGCACGACAACACTCGAAGGGAGTATCCGATTTGGTCCAAATATGGTACATCATAATATTATTATTAAACTTAGATCTAGTTCGAAAATGTGCAATATCGCCACTTCTTTTGTCACCTCCTCCGCAAAATACCGAAATTATCAAAAAAATATTTTACTACACAGAAAGGGAAAGTATAATCCGATTTTGCTCCCATTTTGCAAATCATAATATTGGCATAATTGTTTGGTGGTGGTGGACAACATCGATCAACTCCATCACGTACTTCCCTTACAAAGGGTCACATTATTGAATAGTTATAACTTTTATAAAATATGATGCAATTTTCAATAATACTGTCTCTCATAATTTGCGACACAAGTCAGCTTTATCTAAATATTTCTCTCAACAAGCAACCTGAGATGAAAATGGAATTTATGATTTCGATATAAATGTTCGATTTTGGTACAATTTTGTCCATATCACTATTTGTATCTGTATTAGATGAATTTTGAAAAAAGAAAGCTTCGATCGAATATGTCGGAATCTCACGCACATTTTAAAAATTTCTAAAAATTATCACATACCTCATATAAAGTAAAGGAAGTATGCAATATAGTCCAAACCTGGCTTGTCGCAATATTTAAATCATATTTATTAAGGTCCGATACGAAATTGAAAATATTTGCCTATTTCTTGGGAACCTATTGCATACAGGGCCAATAATTTGGATAATCATAACAGAAGTCAAAATATATTAACAAATATTATATTGGCTGACGGCAAAACCGATTGCTTCGTTTTTTTTTTTAATTTACATTTTGAAATTTCAAAAAATAGCAACAATTTCAACTCCACCCTAACAACAACTATACATTGTTTGTTTTTTTTTTTCTCCTGTCTGTGTACGATTGTCGTGGTTGATAATTTATATTGTTCAAAAATTTACAGAGAGCAAAGAAAGGCTTAACATTATTATGAACATTACTTTCATTAATCATGTGAAAAGCCTTGATATGCTTTTTATATTTATGTACATACGGTCTCTTACAAAGACACAGACACTCACTCCACACACACAGCCATATACCCTTTTTATGCTTTGTGAGTTTTGGTGTTTTTGTTCTTACAGATACCAGAAGTCACATCACCATCGTCATCGCCATCATCATGCGGCAAAAATAATTTAAAAGTTAATGCCAACATAATATGGCAACTAAATGTTTTTTGTTATAGTGTAAATATATAATCTAAGAATTGAGATTAGTAGAAAAAACTATGTCCTTGGTAATAAATTGCATTTAAAAACAAGTGAGAGGGATTTAAAAAGAAAACTAATTTTTTATAACTAAAGTGCGTTTATAGGTAGACAAAGAATGGCATATTCTGGCTGACTCAATACACACAAAGTGGCCTTTAAAAAAAATTATACAACTGGAATTAACGAATATGAAAATTAGAAATCATCGAAAGAAAGAACTTACTGGGTCATATAATTTCGATAGATGCGATTCATGAGTATAAAAAATTGTGTCCCTTAGTAGAAGACTTACCAGAAAAAGTGGGACAATATTTCCCATTTTCAAACTGCATCTATAAACCTTTTTATTTTCCTAACCAAAAGCTGAAACCTGACAGGGTAATAAGAATTAAAAACAAGTAAGTAAAGGCTTAAGTCGTGCGGGGTCGACCATGTGATACCCATCAACACTACAATATATTAGAAGTCCCCCAATGGCCAAATCCAATTCGGAAGATTTCGTTTTCGAATTTATGTCATAGAGCATTGCCCAGATATTAATCTTAGCTTTTTGGCCGGGAGCATTTGCCCAATATTTACGCACTCCGTTGTGTTGTTAGTTGTTGTAATCCATTTTACAGCTAAATATAATCCAATGGTCAACTCAATTGCTAGACTTCTTCCCTGTCCTTAACTCTCTTCTCAGGCAAAATTCCGAGTCGATTGGTTTCAATTGAGTGATCATGAAAATTGTTCTGTTTTTGGTTCATTTGAGCCACTAAATAATTTGCCATTATCTCCAATTGCAAGAGGCACCTCTGTATATTTAAATTTAGACTTATCTGCAGGGTAAAATGAAAAAACTGCAACCAATTTCGGACTGCTGTCATTTCTAAGCCACTCGTCCGAGAGCTGTTAGATTATTCCAGTGACATTTCAGCATATTGTTTACAAGCGTACAAAAGTATTTTGATGAGATTTCTCCAAAAAAACTTATTCGTGATGGAATTCACGGGTGATTGTGAATTTAAATATGAATAAATCTTTTGTGTCTCAGACCGTTGTACTGGTAGCGTAGCACGACGTCAAGGAAGCGGACAGATGAAAACAGCAACATCAGCAGAAATGGTTCGAAGAGTAAAGAAGCGACTTGATAGAAACCCGCGTCTCAGTGACCGAAAAATAGCTCGTAAGCTGAACATATCGCAATATTCCATTTGGCAAATACTAAAAAATACGCTCGAAGTAAAGCCATTGAAATTCTAAAAAGGTCAAGAACTTACACCGCAACGAAAAGAAAATAGACTCAAAAGAGCTAAAGTGTTGCTTAGCTTGGCCGAAAGTGGTGAACTGCCGAATTTGGTTTTCTCCGATGAGAAACAGTCGTTGTCAAGCAGTTTCTAATCAAACAAAATGATCGTGTATACTTGATAAAGAGGTCATCTGAAAATATGCACCTTCGCTTCGCCACCAGAACTTAAGCGCCAGCCATGGTGATGGTGTGGGCCGCCATAACAGCCGATGGTCGCTCTCCGCTCGTATTAATCGATCGTGGCATCAGAATAAATGCCGAATATTATCGCGAAAATATTCTGGAGGGTATTCTGGGCTCGCATACATTTTGGCGGCAGACCTTGGACATTCCAACAGGACTCAGCACCATCGCACTCAGCACGCGCCACCCAAGAATGGTTACAAAATGAGGTTCCTCGCTTTATTTCCACCGCAAAATGGCCAATAAAATTACCGGATACCAATCCGTTGGATTGTTGTGTCTGGAGTATTTAGGAAAGCAAGGTTGGCACTAAAAAATACCAAAGTATCGCTCACCTCAAGCAAGCGCCTCGCCGAGAATGGACCAAAATACCGAAGAGCAACATTCGGGCAGCATGTGACGGTTTCATTGTCCGTTTGAAGGCCATAATTCATGCCAAAGGTGACCAATTCGAACAAATCCAAATTTATTCTAAAATTTGATGCTATTTCCGATATTTGTTGCTTTCATTCAAAAAACTTAAAAAAATTAAAATTATTGCGTTTGACTTTGTTGCAGTTTTAA